TAAACCAGGCCCTCCCATTCAGAATCTATCTACAAAGTTTGTCAAAATCCTTGAAATGTGCATTGATCATCCAGAGGGGATTTTATTTTTAACAAAAGTGGAGTTACTTTTTTAAAATCATAAAAATATGGCATGGAAGTAAAAATACATAAAAACTAAAAGGCCTGCTTATTAAATAAAATGGTAAACAGAATTCTGTGTGGCAGGTTTCATACAAATATTTTTTTTCCAAAGTATTTTTAAAAATGAGAAAACCATAGTGGAGAAAACCCAGGTGTAGGCGTTATTTCCATAGGAAAGCAAGTTGCGGAGATGGTCAGTGCTGCGTAGCGTAATATATTTTAGCTGAGAAATAGACACAACATGATCTAAAAGAAAGCTATTTTAATTCTCCATTAGGTCCATGATTGAGAGCTTTGGGATTGTATAGGTTACATGAGTGGTATGAACTAGCGGAGGATTGAGCCAAGTCCTTGCTTGCTCAGGTGTAATGTAATGAATGGAAGAACATGATGGATTAACCTAATTGTTCTGACTCCTTGAATACATGAGTACCAGAGAGTTGTATATAATAAATGCCTAGCAGGCTGAATGTTGGAGAACAGTCTATGCCTTTACAAAGCTGAATCTACTCTACTGTACATTTAAATTTTTGTGGATTTTACAGTAGAATTAACCTATAATTAGTGGTGCACCGAAATGAAAATTCTGGTGCCGAAACCGAAAATTCAAACTGCACTTGGCCAAAAATCGAAACCGAAATACACAGTTTTTAAAAATGAATATATATTTTTTTGGAAAAAAAATACACTTATTAAAAAAACAAAAAAAAAAAATATATACCCCAATTTTTTTGTAAAATATGAAAGAGAATGTTACGGCGAGTAAATAGATACCCAACATGTCACGCTTTAAAATTACGCACACTCGTAGAATGGCGTGAAACTGCGGTACTTAAAAATCTCCATGGGTGATGCTTTAAAAATGTCTACAGGTTAGCAGTGTAAAGTTACAGAGAAGGTCTAGAGCGAGAATTATTGCTCTGCTGCTCTGACGTTCGTGGCGATACCTCACGTGTGTGGTTTGAACACCATTTACATATATGGGCATGGCCTACGTATGCGTTCACCACTACGTGCGAGCACGGGGGGGGGGGGGGGGGGGGGAACACTTGAAACTTTTTTCTATTATTTATTTAAAAAATACATTTTTGCACTGTCCCTTTAAAAAAAAAAAAGTTATCACTTTTATTCTTATCACAAGAAATGCATGAATCCCTTCTGATAGAAATAATTAGTGACAGGTAAAGCATTGGATCAAAAAAAGAAAAGCATTGATCTAGTGCTTTAAAAAGAAAAGTAAAAAAAAAAAAATGGCCGGAACTGGAAGTGACATCGCTCCAAGGGCATAGAGATGAGTGGAGGCCATCTTTCCTTTACTCATCTCTATGCCCAGCAACAGGATCGTTCAATGGTTTCTAAGGTAAGGCTGAGAACTACCAAGCGGCAGCTGGTGGTGGAGACGACAGCGACTAGGGGTGGGGTTTTTTCGGCACCTGTATCGGTGCTTTTTTTCATTTTCCGCCGACGGCTGAAAGGGGTGGTTTTGGCCAAGAAGTTTCGGCCACCAAAATTTCAGTGCATCCCTACCTATAATAGTCACGTAGCGCTAACCCCTCAGGGGCCGCTGGTATTAAATGGTTCTTCCCAAACAGTACAGAGGCTGCCCATTGCCACAAGCACTAGTCCGTTTACACCAGCTCTATAACACAGTCTAGGGGATGTCTTTTTAAGATTTATTTCCACTTGCCCTCCTAAGGATATACCCCCCTTCCTGACCAGGCCATTTTTTTGATACGGCACTGCATTACTTTAACTGACAATTGTGTGGTCATGCAACACTCTACTGTAATGAAATGTATGTCCTTTTTTCCAACAAATAGAGCTTTGATCACCTCTCTGGGTTTTTATTTTTTGTGTTATGAACAAAAAAAAATATTTTTGACTGTTTGCTATAAAACATATCCAGTAAAAAAAAATGTAAAAACTCAAATTTCTTCATAAATTTAAGCCAAAATGTATTCTGCTGAATGTCTTTGCTAAAAAAAATCCCAATATGTGTAATTTAATTGGTTTACGAGGACGTTATAGTGTTTACAAATGGCGGTGTATATACTGGATTTTTTTTTTGTTCATACTAGTAATGGAGGCAATCAGCAACTTATAACTTACATCAACAACTACATTTTCTGTATGCGTGGATTGGATCACCCAATGACCAGCAGGACCACCATGGCAGAACACGCGTGCTTTTCTTACGAAGTGTGAAATGACCACATGCAAGACACTGGAGCCAGGGATTGAAATAGTAACTGTTCCACTATATCCAAAAAGACCACACATGCCAATTAATAACAGAGGCTAGGATATCTTCACCAGAATACAACAGGCTGCAAGGTGGTTACATTCTTGTACCACAGTTTTTAACACTGCATTGTCTTTCTTCTCTTTGTTTTATGATACAAGGTCAGCTGTAAAGTGTGTCAGGCAGCATAGTAAAGAGCAAAACATTAGTCCAAATTAATTTAATAATGTTATGTTAAAAGACAGCCAATGTGTTTCGGGGATCAAAGGAACTACCCCTTCATCGGGGCTTCAGTTAAAAATGAGAACCTTGAATGGACTCAAAGAAAGTCCTTCCTACTTGAATCTGTGCAGGGAAGATCATTGCTGGAGTAGGATTCCTGACCAGCCGTGTCTGCATCAGCAGTCAAACTGTCTTTTAACATATTATTATATTAATTTAGACTCTTTTCTTCTGGTCTGGCAGGTATTCCATATGTGCACACTTTTTCCTGGTAACCTGCTGGAGTACCCACAGTAGGGTGGCCTTGCCTATTGTGAGCAGCCTAGCCTGAGCCACTGAGATCTTCAAGTGTTTTTTTCCCTTCCGACTACCTTGTTTAAACTCTAATCAAAGTCCCAGCACCTTTTGGATGACCTTTTTTTTTCATTGGAGACAGCATAGTAAATCAGACAGGGTTACAAACACAATACTTGCTAGAGACAGTCAAGGTGAGAGACCAAAGTAGACAGAACTTCAGAAACGTAGGTGAGGTAGTAACTAGCCTAGTGACCTGGCCACTACCAATAAAGCCAATATAACAAGCAATCTTAGCCAACACAAATGATTTAAAATATTTTAACAGATTACCCTATCCATGCTATACAGTGTGGATAGAGGAATCACCTGCTACGCCCGCTGTATTCAGACAACAGTAGCTGGCACCTGTCAGAAAGCCCAAGCAGAGTGCAATCAGATGCAGCCAATGTTCAGGTGACAACTCCTTTGATCGAAGGATGTCAAGCAGGAGGTGACCAATCGTGGAGCAAATAGTGGGTACCCAGCTTAAGTCCATATGCACAGTTTGCTGCCACTGAATGGCTCACCAACCCAACCCCCCCCTTCCCCCTGCCTGCCTCTAGGCTCAGTCCTGTTGTGAACCAAATTCAAGTGGACTTTATTGGACACTTTCTGCCAGGACAGGCTCTCCATGAGATATTGAGACTGAGATCTGGAGAAGGCCAAATCAACACCTCAAACTCATTATTGTGTTCCTCAATCCATTCTTGAACAATTTTTGCAGTATGGCAGAACACAGTATCCTACTGAAAGAGGCCACTGCCATTAGGGAATACCATTTCCATAAGGAGATGTACTTGTTCATCAAAAATGTCTAGGTAGGTGGTAGGTGTCAAAGTAACATCCACATGAATAGCAGGACTAAGGCTGCATTCACACTGAAGCATTTTGTAGCTCGAAGCTCCAAAAAAGCTCAAACCTAAAAAATCAACCTGATCACGCGAACAGGCACCATAGAGAACAATTGATTTTTTTAAGTTTGAGCTTTTTTGGAGCTTCGAGCTTCAGGCTACAAAACGATCAAGTGTGAATGCAGCCTTAAGGTTTCCCAGGAGTTCTGTTTCTGACTGTTTCTAATCCCACCAAGTATACTCCTGCCCATCGGGTTGAGATGGACTATGGTTGTTAACCAGTTGCCCTCCGCCCTATAGCAGAAGTACTGCTACAGGGCTGTGCAAAATCACACACACACATATACAGTTGTGCTCAAAAGTTAGCATACCCTGGCAGAAATTGTGAAATTTTGGCATTGATATTGAAAATATGACTTATCATGCCAAAAAATGCTCTTTTTTTATTGAAGGATGATGATCATATGAAGCCATTTATTTTCAAATAGTTGTTTGGCTCCCTTTTAAATCCTAATGATAACAGAAATCACCCAAATGGCCATGATCAAAAGTTTCCCTGGAATGTTTGGCCTTGGTGCTAACACACAAGGTGACACACACGGGTTAAAATGCGAATTAGAGGATAATGTCCCACATCTGTGGCTTTTTAAATTACAATTAGTGTCCGTGTATAAATAGTCAATGAGTTTGTTAGCTGTTACATGGAAGCACTGATTAGGCTAGATACTGAGCCATGGGGATCTTCCCATACTGCATCCTGGTGCCATCTCTTCCCCAAGTAAATGATGCACACACCTGGCCATCCACATGATGTAATAGAAAATGTGATTCATCAGACCAGGCCACCTTCTTCCATGGCTCCATGGTCCAGTTCTGATGCTCACGGGCACTTTGGCTGTGGACACGGGTCAGCATGGGCACCCTGACTGGTCTGCGGCTATGCAACCCAAAACACAACAAACTGTGATGCCTTTTTTTTTCTAGGTTCCTAGTTTTTGGTCACATTAAAGGTGGAGAAAGTTCTGAAATTATCTATCTTTGTCACATTTGTTTACATCACAAAAACCTGACATTTTAACAGGGGTGTGTAGGCTTTTTAAATCCACTGTATAACCTAATGTAATCCTAGATGCCATTTGTAACAAGATAATCAATATTATGTCAGAGATCATAAAATTCTAACTAATCAGTAAGTGATACACATACACTTTATAATAGTGATCTTACGTTTCATGGTGCCAGATTCCTCCTCCTCCTCCTCATCATTGTTTATTAACATGGTGCCAAGCTGGGTCGTCAGATGTTCATTTTCCACCATTGTGTTAGCAGCTTCCTCACTCAGAGTACTAAACTCCAGCATTGTGCCCGCGTCTCTGCCTCGTGCCTGGACCATTGTCCCAGAATCTGGTTCATCATCCTCATCCTAAAACAGAAGTGCAGTCAGATGCAAAGGTGAAAAATACTACCCCAAGTAGTATTGTATCCTGACCACTGTGCGTGGTTTATACACATAATGATACTGTTCAGTATAGTCACTTCTTTTTATTTCATGCGCTCAAAAAAAGGTGTGCTCTCTCTTCAAATATAATATTCAAGCAATCCACATATACATAAATGAAGAGAAAATCCAATAAAGTGAAATAAAGTCTCTAAAAGTGACATTCAAATCAATTGTGTGGTTAAATGGTTAGCACTTCTGCCTGGCAGTACTCGGGTCGCTGGTTCAAATCCCAACCACAGCACCACCTGTCTGGAGTTTGCATGTTCTCCCTGTGCCTGTGTGGGTTTCCTCCGGGTAGCCCAGTTTCCTTCCACACTTCAAAGACATGCTGGTAGGTTAATTGGATCCTGTCTAAATTGGCCCTAGTATGTGTATGTATGCATGTAAGTTAGGGACCTTAGATTGTATGCCTCTTGAGGGTTATGTGAATGTACTATATATATATATATATATATATATATATATATATATATATATATATATATATTTATGTAAAGCGCTGCAAAAATTGATGGTGCTATACTGTACGAGTACCTGAAATAAATAAATAGTAAATAATCATCCCATGCAAATCCCAAAAGAAGCCCAAGTTGTGAAAAAAACACCAGGATACACACACTTCTTACCAGAAAGACTGGATCTTAGGAAAATTAGATCAAATGAGCTCAGCTGACACACAGCCCATACACCATGAGATATCCCTTCAATCTGTAAGGCTTCTATGCTGTTATCACATTTGTTCTAGGGCTCTGCCAAACCAGTTGACGTGGTGACGTGTAATTTTTCACAAAACCTGCTTCTTTTGGAATTTGCATGGGATAATGATTATTTACAATTGATTTGAACATTAGTTTTAGAGACTTTATTTCACTTTGCTGGATTTTATTGGAATTTTTTCATCATCTATGTATATGTGGATTGCCCATTATATTTAAAGAGATAGCGCACCTTTTTTATGTAATCCAGTAATGAGCAGAGGTCATCTGTTAGGGGGAGACCAGGAAGAATTTATTCCCTAGCCAATCCACTGGCATGAATATCTGAAGACTCTTTCACAATCTACAATATCCTCATGCCTATTCCGATACACATGTAACACCTGTATACACGTTAGACACTTTGTAAGGCCTCTGACAGTAGAATGGCGTGGGTGCTTCCAAAATAAAAAAAATCTGTCTCAGCTCCTCTCTCCATCTACACTGGGGCAAGACAGGGCTGTCAACTCTCCCTTTTGTTGTTTGAGCTCTCAAAACTCTATCGATCCGAATATGTTCCATGGCTAGTACAGAGAGCTTGACTCTTGGTATCCTGAAGGAATACCCTGGTATATCTGGCTGACCCTGACCGCTCCTTTGATTGTCTATTGGAAATAGTAGAAACATTTGGAAACTATTCTGGTTTTCATGTTAAGTGAGACAAGTCCAGTCATTTTCTGATAGATGAAGCTGCTATCAAAAAAGGTTCACCAGCAAATCAAAAACTCCTTTAAATACCTTGGAGTAATGGTGCAACTACCCTTTTAATTCTACACTTGTAACAAAATCCAGCCTTGTATTCCAATATCGCAATAGAACACTAAACAATGGATTGATATCCATATAGATTTCATTGGCAAGGGTAAGATTACAATAATATTTTTACCTAAATTGTTGTATATCCTTGCCAATACCCCTTGCAAAATACCGATTCACATTTTTAAGATGATTGATACTATGTGCTCTGCCTTTCTTTGTCAGAAGTGAAATCCCAGGATTGCTTTAGAAATACTTAAATTACCCACGCACACGGTCTTCCCAGACGTCTTTGTAAGAACTTCTATCTTCCCAAGCCATGATCCTCACGCAACATAAAATTCATTTGTTATTTGTACTCCTTGCAGGAATATAAAGTCATTCCTTTAATTACAGGAAAATATTGAACTACTTTCTAAATTGCTTTACCATTATTACCAACATCACCATGCAACTTACAGTTCGAGACTTATAATGACCCTATAATTATCATCCCATTTGAACAACTTCTGAGAAGACCAGATACCATCAAGTTAGTTTCTACTTACTACTCAACCCTTACTAACACTTCTAGAGTTAGAAATCAACAGGCTCAATTTAGGTGGTCTTTGCCTGACCTTCAGATTACTGACCAAGACTGGTCGTAGCTTGAAGGTACTGTACATACAATGGATCAGGGATTTCCTCCAGAGAGAGTAGAAATTGTTTCATCACATCCATTATACACCAGCTAGACCTCAGAAAATGTGTCGGCGCTCCTCGGCAGGATGTTTTCAGGGTGTGGAGAAACTGCTGATTTCTTTCGCTGTTTCTGGAAATATCAATATGCACAAGACTTCTGGCTAAAGGTCAGTAACTTTATATTCACAGCTGGGACTTACCTACAATTCACATCCTAAAAACTGTCTACTGGGTATTAATGGAGACCTACAAATTTATAAACATGCTGAAGTGTGATTGCATATACCTTACTTTTATTCAAAGAAAACAAACCTAACTTAGGAAGGATCTTCCCCTTCCTCTATTAACACGTGGAAAAATTGATAAATATTATTCTACCACTTTATAAATTACAAATGCAGAAAAAAGGTCTTTGAAAAAATAAGGGGCAAATGGGTCACATCTACCCAACACTTACTACTCTGGATTCAGGGCTCTGAATCAACCCTGCGATTGTTTTTCTGGTATTGCTATTGTGACTTTTTTGTACTTGATCTGATATAGTTGTGGCCACCTGGTATGCTGAGTGGTGAGAGACTGTTAAGAGTGTTGTGTATTCCATTGTACTCTCTGCCTGCTTGATTGACTAGAAAAATCTATAAAAACATCTCTTTAAAAAAGAAAAATACCAACCGCATTTTCTTCCTCTTCAGGTTCCACTTCACGCTGCTGTAATTCACTCCGTTTGATCTTTGCTTCCATGGCTTCATTTATTAAATGTCGCAAGATGGCTGCTCCTTTTGTTGTTTTCACAAACGGGTGCTAAGTCATAGGAATATCAATATTCATTAGATATGTTGAACTCCATATCATAGAGCATAGAATGCACAATATTTGAGACTGAAGAGAAATATGAATAAATGAGAAGGTATAAAGATTTAAATAAGTTCCCGTGGTAAATATTGTAACAGGTAAGTCATATGAAAATCTCAATTCCTTGACCTATAACTCCATGCCTCAGACTATTTCATGTTGGGTTCCCCTTGCTCATCCTATTGTGTTTGTGGAGTAAGCCAATACATGTAGATATTGTACATGTAAAATTGTGGACAAGGTTTTTAATCAGTTTATTCAATTTTTTTGCTACTTGTAGATTTACAGCAAACATAGGCTTGATGTCATCAGCTCCTGCCCCAGAGGAAAATATCATCTATATACCTACTACAGCTATACAAGCATGCATGCATAGATAATTGGTTGAGTTTCATCAGAAACCTGACATTAGGTTGTGTGAGCAATCCAGATTATCATATGTGGGAATGGCACCACTACCGGTCTGAGGCAGAGGTCCCCAGTGGCCATGAAATGTTGCTCTACTGTTGCACCCAGGAACCCATGGTCTATTGCGGTACCAATTGCACTTGGCTACAGAAGTCTTTTGGAAGCCAGATTACCAACACAAACCACACAATCTAAAAGGAGAACAGACATTAATCTAGAATTTCAGCATTAGAAGGCAGGATCTGCAAACACTTGGCTATATGCCACTATACTAAAAGGAAGAGAATGCAATATCAGATATTAAAATCAATTAATAATTTAATATCAGACATGTCAATATCCTTCTGTAATGTTTTTGGTATGACAAATGTTATAAAAATGGATATCTATGAAAGTACATATTTATATGCTAGACACACACACACACACACACACACACACACACACTATATATATATATATTTTTTTTTAATTATTAATTTATTTTTTTTTACAAATCGTACAGTTATATAAATACATTGGAAAAGGGTTTTTGCTTCAACATTTTCAAAGACAACAACCTCTAATAAAACCATATCCATATGGCAATGTATTGGTCATTCCTGAAAATAACTTCCAATTCATGAACAGAAAGTATTCTTTGAGTATTATGACCTTCTAGAACAGCAATGGGCAAACTACGGCCCGGCGGACCTTTTAATCCGGCCCGCGGAGCGTGGCAAACATTGGCTGTCAGGATGTAGGCGGGGCAGCGTGACGAACTCCTCTCCTCTCACAGTCCGCCCTGAAGACCGGAACGGCGTGGGAACACGGCGAGAGGAACGCGCGGAGCAAAGGTAAGTGAATTGACACAATATGGGGAATTAATTACTATAGGGGGGATGAATTACTATATGGGGGATGAATTACTATAGGGGGGAATGAATTACTATAGGGGGGAATGAATTACTATAGGGGGGAATGAATTACTATATGGGGGATGAATTACTATGGGGGATAAATTACTATGGGGGATAAATTACTATGGGGGATAAATTACTATATGGGGGATGAATTACTATGGGGATGAATTACTACAGGGGATGAATTACTATATGGGGGATGAACTATAGGGGGGATGAATTACTATAGGGGGGATGAATTACTATAGGGGGGATGAATTACTATATGGGGGATGAATTACTATGGGGGATGAATTACTATAGGGGGGATGAATTACTATATGGGGGATGAATTACTATATGGGGGATGAATTACTATGGGGGATGAATTACTATATGGGGGATTAATTACTATGCTTACTATGGGGGAATATTACAATACTTACTATGGATGGCATGGTAGTGGCTGGGCCGGCCAGCAGCTAGTCCGGCCCCCGGGTCCAATATATGAACCCATTGCGGCCCTCAAGTCAAAAAGTTTGCCCACCCCTGTTCTAGGAGTAGCTGTTCCATTCCATGGAAACAAATTCATCAAAAAATGTCTGTTAGGATGACGAAAATGTTTTTGCATAGAGGTAATGTGGCAATTCAGGTTTTCCAGGAGATATTACTATAATAATTAAGGAGAAGAAAACCAGAAGGAGGAGAGTCCCAAAGCCAGAGGTCTGGAGGCAAGGGATGGGTTCACCTTTAACTGTGCTTGGTTACCAGAGAGTATTGTACTATTGCTTCTCTCCACATACGTTTCTCTTTAATTTTTATTATTTTGTCTAATATAAATAATTATTTTCATACGCTTTCACCTGCAGTAGTGCTAAAAAAAGTGATGCAACTCTTTGGAGTGATGTATAAAGCACTCTCCAGTAGTGTCATTTTTGAGAGTCAAATGGAAAACTCTAAAACTCTACACCACTGGATGCTCTCATTGTTTTGTTTACTCAATTACATTTAGCTTTTTCAACAACGTTTCAGTCAACCAAGCACCAGGTCCCTGTATTCAACAAGTAAAAAACGACTGAACCGCCCATACTGACCTCAGTACTCTTCCTACCATGTGAATACTAACAAACCATACCCTTTCCTAAAATATTTAATGGGTTAACGACTCTTTTAATTAATAATGGATAATGTTAGCTTGGCCACACATTACACGTCTATTTATTTTGCATTTAATATGTGTTGTTTTTAGCAGAAGGCATGTCAAGTGTCTATAAATAATTTAATGAAATATTAACAGCACACACGATTCCCAACATGTCATGGCCTAGATTTCCCGAAGTCACATCTTCCTTCAGACAGCAAAGAATCATTGTGTCAGAAAAGAAAAACTGAGGATTGCTCTTGTTTATGGAGGGAAATCCTCACCCAGAGGAGATTCCGAAGGCTGAAACATCTCATCCTGAATTGTACATGAAATTAATTGAAAACATAGTTTCCCAATGCTCTCATCATTATCCAAACTGCTGAAGACGTAGAACATGTGGGAGATAAAAGTCTTGCTAACATGCGAGACAGGGTTGGGTATACGTAAAGCGTATGTCAAGACAAATACATCTGCAATACATGCACACTCCCCATGTTTTATTCCCAATAAAAAAAGTACAGAAAAAATTTAACATGTTAGATATTTTTTGCATATGTCCGTACCCTATAATGGTGATTATGATAATACTGGTGCATACCACGGTTCAGTCACCTTCTCCAGGCAAGGGAATTGCATCAGAATTTACGTTGCATGGGCTCAGTTCAAAAGGGTTATATATAGTATAATACTACATAGAATATATATTACTTTATGGCTTGGATGTGCGATTAATATAGGGAATTTGTAACGAAACCGGACCCACACTGCACTAGGGTATTTCCGTTATGCTCCAGCTTCCCTGTCCGAACACAAATCCACGGACCCCACCGCTGATCATACAGGAAATAAGACAGCACCAGCTCTCTTCTAAGAGAAGAAGTCAACTCCTTTATTTTAACACAAACACAAGATATATACACAGGGCGGGGAAATACAACCAGGGACAGGAAACACATCACCAGGCTGACCCATCAGGGGGAAGGGCTGCTGGTAACACCCCACACCAAACCAAGTCACACAATAGAACAATGGAACAACCACATGGCATTAGACAATACAGGAACACATGCAGTCCATAATAGTTTGCTGGCCAGCAAGACACAATAGAACAATGGGGCAACCACTTGGCAGTGAACAATGGACAACCCCCACACCCCACCTATACATGTCTACACAATATCAAGACAGAGCACCCTGCACCCCTATCAGGCACAGGGTGCCTTTACACATAAGAGGGATTTGGAAAGCTGATACAGGGGTCCCCCCACCCTCAAACGTCACTCCTGTCACAGAATTCTTTCAGCTTTTACTTTCCCAAATTCAGCCCACTACCTGGACTATGAATGTATAGAATAAAACTAGTGAAGTCCTATTGGAATTCCACCTTCTTGTAGCCCAACCTGCCTAAACATCTGGTATATCAGTTTCAAGTGTCTACATCACAGGTGTCAAACTGGCGGCCCTCCAGCTGTTGCCAAACTACAAGTCCCACTGAAAGACTGACAGTTACAATAATGACTCCCAAAGGCAGAGGCATGATGGGACTTGTAGTTTTGCAACAGCTGGAGGGACGCCAGTTTGACACCCCTGGTCTACAGCATGTCACTACAATGTACAATACAACTGAATTTGACTGGCTCACGATTCTGGCATTCACATCTTAAACTAATTTCTCATGTGAAAGGGATTATGGTAAGTAGAGATGAGCTTGGCCATGTTCAGATCCTAGCCCAAACCCACCTGCTCGAGCCTGCCAGGAAGCGGTCACCTGTACTGGGCCATTCATCTGTGGCCAAGGCATTCCTTGTCCCACAGCCACACATATACATGCCCTATGTAGGCTTGTGACTGCCAGGATGGGGGAATGCGCTGGCTGCAGATGATTGCCCCAACACAGGTGACAGCTTCATGGTAGGCTCGTCCATGTGAGTTCAGACTGGGATCCAAACATCCCTAATGGCAAGTAGAAATACACATTTATTACAGCAATTTTGTTTGCAGCAAATTTTGTATTTAAAAAAAAATAGTTGAACTAAAATGTTTTTTAGGTTCTCCCATTTTAGCGCTTTTTTTTTGTATTTTACCAGCAGTTGAACAGCATCTTACATAATCCAATGATCTCAAAAATGACAACAGAGAGATAATGAATACGAGAGGGCAAGGAAGTATAATTTAACAGTCTGTCTGTGAAACTGCAGGGAGATGGTGATCCCGCAGCAATACAGGTACCACATTTATTAATCTACAGTTGCTATAGAACACATCTCAGCCCTGGTTGAGAAACACAGAAATATACTGTTGTATATTGTGATACATTAGCAACATGCGGACTGGTAAGTTTATTGGGAGGTCAGATGCAATGGGTTAGTACCAAGCTGTACTGAAATTTTTTAAAGACTCCATATGAACTGACTAGAATGACTAAATCTAAGTCAATCCATATGGAACACAACATAGAGGACCTTTCTTCAACATCAAAATGCAACAAGTCTCTGTTGGCACAGCAATTTTGCCTTTGCTGAAAAATGCCGCAAAATTCATGACCACACATTTGGTGTGAATGAGCCCCTGAAAAGGAGTAGAGCGTTCAAAGTTAAGCTGACCATACTCTATACAATCTTACTGGATAATCTTTGGACGTACCATCCAGTCATTTTCTGATAGATGAATACAAGTAGTAGTACAAGGGCATGTCCTACATATTACTAGGTTTAAGTATGGCCTCATATTGCACAGTTTTGGCAACTTGGAAGTTATACAATTGTACAATCAGGATATATAGTACAATGGTCTCCAAACAGCGGCCCGTGGGCCAGATGCATCCCTTTGCTTTTCTTTATCTGGCCCACAGGGTACCATTCCTCATGCTGATGCCAACAATGAGGCACCATTCCTTTCACTCACACCAACAGTGGGGCACTTTTCCTCTCACTGACACCAAAGATGGGGAATTATTCTTCCCACTGACACCAAAGATGGGGTACTACTTCTCCCACTGACACCAACGATGGGACATTATTCCTCCAACAGACACCAATGATGGGGCACTATTCATCCCACTGATATTGACAATGGGGCACTTTTCCTTCCACTGATAGCAATTAAAGGGCCCTATCCGTTTCCCTACTGACCACAGGAGCTATGTAATTTTTTTACTCCCATTCACCACCAAGCCTAAGGAATGGCTTACACCCACAGACACTGGGGCATCTTCTACTCCCACTGGCCACAGTCTGGCCCCCTAAAGTCTGAAAGGCAGTAAACTGACACTTTGTTTGGAAAGATTGGAAACCCCTGGTATAGTGCATGGCCAGCTTTACTCTCAAGGTGATTACATGAGTGAGCACATAAGGTTCAAAAAGAAAATCCTCTCCCTTGGAACTTTATTGCAGCCAAGACAACATAAATAAATACAAAGAAAATGTTTTATTGCTACAAAATTCAGCGTAAAAAAAGAAATAAAACCAATTTCATATCTCTGGCATAATGAATATGATCTGTACCTTTAGACTTAAAATGTACAGTCAAACGTCAACAATAGACAACACAGTCACTTGTTGTTTTAATGAAGTCTACACCTGACTTGTTTGGATTAGAAATTATATATATAGTATTGGCTGTGGGCTGCAGCTCCCCCTACCTGGCCTCGGGTGGCCATTTTGGCCTCTTGGGGGTTTGAACACCGAAATGTGTGGTCCTTAGGTAGATTTCGGATAACCTTTTATGCACTCTGGTAATACACGTAAGTTATACATTCATGTAAGCATAATATGGATGTAATCAGATTCAGTGGGATATAAATTGCATCAGTACCTTGCGGTTTTCTTCCTCTTTACAGATACGTTCCTATTCTCCCTGATGAAGATTATAGCTAAGCTAAGCGAAACGCGTCGGCGGTAGACTTCATTATAACAATAAGCGTCTATTGTTCTTGACATTTGATTGTACATTATATGTCTAAAGGTACAGATTGTATGCATTTATGTCAGAGATATGAAGCCGGTTTTATGATTTCTTTTTTATGAAGAATTTTGTACCAATAAAAACTATTTTTTTAGATTTATAAGTTGTCATGGCTGCACTAAAGTCCCAAGGGAGAGGATTTTCTTTTTTATATAGTTTGGGGACGTAGCAGCCTCTGACTCAAGATCACCCACCCATTCTGATTGATGGTCTATCATGGTTTGATGCGCTTTGAATCTTTGTAAACAACTTGTTTTGTATTTTTTACTGACTGCCTTATTCATGTACGTGCATTTATCTTTTTTATGCTTGTATTTTATACTACCGTTACTTACCTATGAGCCTTTTTCTTGAGGTGTTTTGATCCTCAAGAGGTTATACTGTTATTGTTAACAAAATATATATAGAAAACTTGTGCCAAAAGAATAAACAATAAATGAAAATAAATGCTGCTGTTCAAAAATTGACTGAACAACAAAATATACTCACAAAGTGACATAGCGCAAATAATACAAATAAAAAAATTATATATTAACCTCCCTGGCGGTATTCCCGAGTGTACCACAAGCGGTAACCCCGAGCTACACTCGGGCTTACCATGCGGCGCTGCTCCGGGATCCTCTTGCACTTACCTTATCCTGCGCTCCCGCGATGTCCCTCCTGCAGTGTCCCCTGTAATGTCCTCCAGCGGATCCCGGCATCTGTCTTCTGGGTTCCGCCCCCTGCGACATTGGGACGTACGGGGACGGAACGGCGGGAAATTTGAAAATTACAAAAAGTGTCATTCACTAAAATCACATAGTAAAACATTACTGTATCAAACCATTTCACATACATTTTGTCCCGAGTGCTTTGTCCTGTGCCCTTCCTGCATTTTTACTGTTCTTTCTGCCTGGAAACTGAGAATCGTCCATGGCGTCCAAAAAGCGTCCCTTTAGGTCAAAAGCGGTATTAGACCAGCTAGAGAACAGCGATAGTAAATCAGAACCACTTGAAGAATTGAGTGATGATTTGTGGGGAAATTCGTCATCAGACACTGAAAACGATTTTGCGACTTTGCTCAGTGATGTGTGAACTTGGCGCTATATTTCAAATTTCAGTGTTTTTGGTTTGATTATATTATTGAATTAAATTTATTATATTATTATTTTTTATGATTATTTATTAAATTATAATTTATGATTTCGTGTTTCAAGTTTTATCCTACCCGGGATGTTTACTAGACTCTTGTTCGGACAGATTTCAGTGAGTTATTCCTAAAAATACAGGCCTACAATAAAAAAAAAAAAACATATTTCCATGCAAAAAAATGTACCGCTTTGAGCACAGAAATATGGACATAATCATACCGCTAGGGAGGTTAAAGTCCAACAAGCAAAAGTCCCAAATTAAAGTCCAATGTCCCAAAAATTTGAGACAAATTTTATATATATATATATATATATATATATATATATATATATATATATATATATATATACACATATATAACTGTAACACAAACTTCATAAATTTTCCAGCGTGCTCATATCTTCAGTGAAAAAAACATTTGATCCACACTCACCACATACTGTGAATTCTCACACCCCATCTGCAGGCTTGTCTTTTTGTCTCTTAAAGCTATATTAGCTCAAGAATTCACAATATTTGGTGAGTGTGGATCAAATGTTTTTTTCACTGAAGATGTGAGCATGCTGAAAATTTATGAAGTTTGTGTTACAGTTCTATTTAAAAAAAAAAAAAAATGTATCACGAATTTTTGGGACATTGGACTTTAATTTGGGACTTTTGTTTGTTGGACTTTAATATATAATTTTTTCACAATTTATTATTTGTTTTACTTGCGCTGTGTCACTTTATGAATACTGTTATTGTCTAACCTTTAATAAAAATTGTAAAAAAAAAAAAATAGATCACCAACCTATTTCTATTAGCACATAAGGCTCGGCTTTTGTGAAGAAATCCAATGAGCCTCTGAACTGGACGAACCACTAAAAGAGCTTCTCTGAACATTTTCACCCCACTTACATTTGTTGTTATAACTCCTACAGGTGACTGAATTCCCTTCTATGGAGACCACAAAGATTCTTACCTGGAGAAGTTCAGTTGCACTGGCTCTTTGCTCAGGGTTCTTAACTAAACACTGGTTAATAAAATCTATGAAATGCTTTGACCAAAGCTCTGGTTTCCGTAGCGTTGGTGGTGGGTTTGATGGGATCATGAAAATTGCCTTTAAAAAAAAAGAGATGAGAATATTTTTATATTAACAAGAGCACACCGTTCAAGCAAAACTTTAGTTAAAAACAAAATAAATGAATAGCCTATTAAAAAGGGAATATTAAAAAAAAAAAAAATAAATCTGTTTTTACTGCAATAATAACCTTCAATCTGGAGCTACCCACAGTCATTTGGGTTGAATGACCTCTAGCATGATTCAACCCCTTTCTTATGAGCCCAGGTCGTCATGGGCCTGCCACCAGCCAGAGGAGCTGAAACAGCACAGTGATAGGCTCACCCCTCAGTCATTCTGCTTTCTGCTCCTATCAGCATGATCCTGGTCAGCACATGAAATGAGCGGCTTCTTGTACTACTTCTTAGACTACTTTCACACTGATCCGCGGGAAGAGCGCGGTAAAAACGCCTAAGCTTTCTGAGCTTTTTTATTAAAGGACACGCGACTTAAAAACTGCACCAACGCCGGGATGCTCAGTATGCTTTGCTTCATTGTCCCAAGCCGGGCCTCTTGGCTCATCAGCAGAAGTTGGCTACCTATTTGTTTTTGTCAGCCATTAGAACAATTGTCAGCGCCCATGGAAGCGCCCGTCTGTCCCTCTTCAGGGGGTGCGGGACCGTATGACCACTCTGATGCTCAATGAACAGATGTCAAGTATTTGTAAAGACTCCCAACGGAAATTTGAAAATATGGGAGCCGTGGATGCAATATGCCCTTCCCACGCTCCCCCCGGCTAGTCTGGGGTTGTGATGTTGTTCTGTATTGACGTTCCCGCACCCCGCTCCTGGCCTTGTCATCTTTTTCCTTTTGTACTCCTCCTTCCTTTTCTATTTCTGTTTGTTTTTGGTGTGGCAGTGGATTGCTGCCTTTGGTTTGAGTTACTGTTGATGTTATACCAATGTTTTTGTCATTTATGTGCCATTGATAGCCCCTGTGTGGGCGCAGCTTTTGCTCTGTTGGTGTCAGAGCACTGTCTTCTTTATTTTTTTACGTGCAAATGATGGCCTCTGCGTGGGCGTGTCTTGTTGCTCCTGTTTTTTTTTTAAATGTTTATAAACTAATAAAAATCATTGAAATACAAAAACTAAACCAAAGAAAATATTTAGTAAAAGTAATATTTAGAAAAGGTGCGGCGCTAATAATATGAAACAGTATGCTGAACGTCCAAAAGTTATATGTATATGATAAACAAAAATCAGGGTGACAGAAAGTGAATATGTGACAATAAATGATGCAATCACGGTGAAATGTATTCAAGTATGTGTTCTCAACTCAAAAAAATCCCTACTATTGCTCTCCTCCAAACTGTTTTTGTAGCGGTGTTCTGATGGTTAGAGGGTAGCTATGTTCGTTCTGTGGTCCCACTGTATATAGGAACATAGCCACCTTGCTCGCTTCTAAGATGAAACAATTTAATGAAAAATAGATTACAGGGCCATTAAGTATGGATGTGCATAGATTATTTTTGAAGAAAAGGGATATCGTTTAGTGTCACTTAACACAGACATGGGTGCTTGGGCAATTGAAGCTACTGATTTTCTCATTTTAATTGTAGCTCAAAAGGTGACCACTCCAATCAAGTGTATACTTTCTCAGAAACGAGGTCAGTGGGACATGCTGGAATACGTAGTTCTAAAACATAAAAAAAAATATGAAGGGGCAAATTGCAGGTAACAAAATACCAATCTGTGGTACTGCCCCATCTTTTTGTACACATTTGCAGCTTGGAAGATACTTCAGCCTCCCATTTAAGTCATATATACAGTGGACCTCATATTGTACTCATTCAGCTTCTTAGCAGTGTTCACTAGAGGTGGTACTGCATCCCAACACAGCAGCAAAGAGAGGTTCATCCTATGGTGTTCCAGACTCATCTATTTTAAAATACTGGCAAATGCCATGGGTCCTACTTTTACTTGAATATTAATCGGGTGTCCATGAAGGTAGCTGGTCTTCACCATGTCTGAAATAGGTGGGAATTTTTTTTAGATGAGAAAGTCTTTTTTCCCACAACTGAAAGTCACAATAACGTACGCACTTAATAAACCTGTCTACTTGTGGTCTGGCATACTCCAAACTATTTTCAGACAGAACATAGACTTGGCCAATTTGTCCCAAAAGTCCCTTTAGAAATTAGCAGCTAGTGTTTTCCAAGAGGTGGAGACCACTGAGCACACCAATATATACAGTACTTCTGAATGAAATTAGAAATGGATATCCTTCCTTAATGGTCTGTGAACTCTTCAAGTCTAAGTTATTTATAGATCTTTGCTTGGCCCTTGGGCCCAGGTCAGTGGAGGAAGCATTTTGTGTCTCCTCTGTCTATCCCCTTGTCCTGGTCCTTGGGCTCAAGTCCATGGGGGGTGCATTTTGTGTCTCTCTCTTCTCCTCGGTCTATCCCCTTGTTTTGTTCTAGCTTCCTAATTTCTATTCCTGTTCCCTTGTGACTTGCCTCTGTTTTCCACATTCTTCCCTTTTCCCAGCCCCTTCCCAATATCTCTTTTTTTTTGCCTTCTCTTGCACTTCCTCCACTTTTTCTGGGCTTATTTCCTTAACCAGTGGATCAGGTCACTTGTCCAAAAATATCAGCCCCCAAAGGATCCACTAGTATTATCTTCATATAGGTCCCAAATGTTCATCAATTGCACATGTACGTTCATTAATCCCTATCAGACGTTCTGATTGCAACAGAAACAGATATCCTTCACTGAACATGGCCAGAATCAAAAACAAATCTGAAGTTTGCCCTTTCAGTTCTTTTTATTTAAGCTGTGGTGTCCAGGCTGATTTTGGTCACCCTAGATTTCTAGGCAGTGCTCCAGAAGATGAGATACTGAATGATTGTACAGTATGGCCTATATTTAGATCGACTAACCAAGATCAATGCACATTCCATTAGATCTCCGATTCATTTAGATTCTGCTATGCTAGCAAAAGCTAAGACCACACTGTAAATGGAAAAATCTATTTTAACAAGCAACTAAAAAGCATTAATCTTGGAATTCAAGGGCATCTGATGATTTTAGGTGTCCCTTATTCAGTAGCCCTGAGGAGGCCTACCTGCATCCTCCTTTTTATTTAAATGGTATTTGTGTTTACTTTCTGTATTCTAAACTGCAACAAGGCACTAAAAGATGGCAACCAAAAGTACTTAAAGTTTAACTCCAGGAATTAGCCAAAATCTACATTTGCAGTGGTCCACCTGAACTGCAAGGGTTAACCACTTGTTAGGTCTGAGGATGAATGAATAAGGAGTAATACTTACCCTATTCTGTGCTCAGGGAGGCTCCCTTGACCCTTGCTGCCGTCTCTCTAAGGCACTCCGGATGCAGCTGCATGGACCAAAGAGTCGAGGAAAAAAGGCAGGTGATACATCCTCTTCAACCCACCCCAATACCTAATAAGCAGTGCAAACAGAGAGGGGCCCACTGCAAGGGTAAATTTTAGCCAATTCCTGGAGATCAGCTTTAAACATATAAAAGATGTCTTAGCTTTTGGATCAAACAGCTGAAGAAACAACAACTGAGCTTGTTCTTTTTACATAAAGATTTACAAAAACACAACATTAAAAGGAGAAGTATATGCAAAGCTCTTTTGGCTATACTTCTCCTATAGATCACAGGAATGCAGTTTGTTGTGAGGTCACAGAGCCTTTACAGTCGGGATCCACCTAGATGCCTGGACCGGCAGCTGGCTCAGCCTCACATACCACTCCAAGCCTTAGCAAGCTGCTCTTGTCCCTCCACTGCCGAGCGCTCCAGTGAGCGCTGGAGGGGGTAGAGCAGAGAGCCGGTGACTGACAGTCACCGCTCTCTGCTCATAGCGGAGGGGGAGAACTGAGCGATCAGAGCCGGAGGGCAGCTGCAACTGGGATCGGTGCTGCAGCCATCTAGGTATGATTGTTTTTTCATATATTCCTGAACTTCTCTTTTAAATGGTTTAAAATTTGCAAACTATCACTGTTAATAAATCTAAATTATGATTCGGCACTTATATTGATGGCAAGCTTGCAAAATATTTGGTTTTTATGATTAGTCATAATTAATATGTGTGAATGGTCTTTTGACAAATGGTAGTATTACAATTCTTCAATTATAGCTGAGACCAAAAGATATACAAGTTAGCTGAGACAGCTATACCAGCTGAAAGCTGAGTATACTATATTTAGGCTGTTAGTATATGTCAAGGTTATTAGGAGGACTCATTACATTATGTATTTTAATAGTATATGTGTGTATTTAGTATACGTTTCTAACATTGATACACATATAGTTTAGTGATAATACATTGATATGTTCTTAAGCTATATTATTCTTTAAATATATAGCTGAGGGTTACGTCATTAGCTTATAATATTATTTACATCAGCATACATATGTTCCTGTCCCTCAAAAACATTATGTGAGTGTCGTCCCCTCCCTTCTATGCCATACAAGGTATTAAGATCACTAACTATGACGTAAATTTGCCTCATAAAAGATCATGAGACAACGGACAAGTGAGACATTCACACTCACACGCTAATACTGACACTCTTTCATACATAACACACACATACATACAGGACTGAGAAGCTGCAACAGGTGCATACTGTTACGAGATCATCATTTCCGTCTACTTCCGGCTTCTTCAACAAAGACATGAGGACAGGCGTCCATGAAAGACAGAACAGCACATGGCCGTACTTCAATACCTAAAAATGGTGACTTTATCTTTAAACGTTTGCTTGTTATTTCTACAGTAGTTTTTATCTACATGGAACTGTTCATAATACGCTTTACATTGTTATTTTACACCATTGTGTGATAGAATAAAATCACACTTCATTTTTTATTTCAATGGCTCTTTCATTCATAATCGCCTCAAGACACTAGAAGAAGTATTATATGTGTCTAAAATCCAACAATCACATTATGAAAGACTTAGATTGAAGCATTCCAATGGCACAGGTTGCGTACAGGAGTCAAAGCCACGCAACTGCAGTGCAGTGCGCATGC